AGATGTGTATTATAACACTCCAAATGCTGTACGCCTTGAAAAAGTTCAGCTTTCCCCCCCCGTTACAATAGTGTAGTAGTTTGTTTGTTTGTATATATATATATTATATATCCAAGTATTTGGAGCGAGAGAATCGCTGTGGAAAGCGAAGCCTCTCGCGGCCGGTCGGAATGCGGGGTCCACCGGTTCAAAAATTGACACTCTTGCTTTTGAATGCTTTGCAGAAAGAGTGATGATTAAATGCTGTCTTGTCATTGGCAGACAAGGATTGAGCTTTCAAAGGGGTAGTATTAGTATAATTGTGGCATAATTTAAATTGACGTTTAAATAGAAAGCGTTTAAAAAAGCGTAACAGTTTTCAATGATCTTTTTCAACACGAATTATAATGTAAATACAATACCGGCTCAAAAATGGTACCATCAATAAAAAGAACAGTTCTTTTTCTATTAGATTAAAGTCATTGGTTTGGAATTATTTTGCATCAATCCTTCCACTAAACTCCGGGGAGCACTCAACTGAAGCTAGAGCCAGGGGATCGGTGCGGCGCCGGCTATGACAATGCTCGGTGTTTCGAAGTAACGACAGGTCATCGTGTTTGAGGCAATAAAATACTGATTTGTAATGATCTCCCAGTCTTTAAAAAAAGTTTGGCTCCATATTAATATTATGTATGTTAGGGCAATTGTACTATGCTAATGTGGAGATGTGTGTGCACTTTGTACTCTTTATGTTATTATCTGTCAAACATGGGGTAACCCCCCCCCCCCCGGGGGCAGTGCCACTGACTGTAGTGTCTTTAGGCCATTCCCAAAGGGGGGACATTTCTCGTTCAAGCACAGTAAAATTGTAAATGGGCTGATTCATCATGTCACGCTCATAACTGTGCCTGATCTACAACAGGGAACTGCTGCTTTTTTTTTCTTTCAAATCCTTTGTATGTTTGTCACTCTCTTGTGAACTGCTATTTCCGGGATGCCTTGATGGTCGAAGCAGACCTTGTGCTGTTGAGGCTAGAGAGGTGAGCAGAGTAAGTCTGATTCCTTGTAACCTTGTAAAGACTTTTCTGTTGACACCCACCCCTTGGCACTCATATGACCTTATGCAGTTGCGAGTCTCGTAAAACCCTATACCAAAAAACCCCCCCAAAAAACCTGGGGCAGCAGCCAGTTAGAGAATTTGGCAATATAGTTGAATTAAAACAGCTGCCATAAAAAAAAATGACTGTGATGTAAAAGTATGCTCGCAAAATTCTCAGGAGACACAGGCTTTTCATACAACAGATAAATTTGACAGAGAGCTACTTTGAAAATTTAGTTTCTGGTAACTTGTACAATACTAAAACGTTGTTCCATTAAACGTGAAGTCCATTCTCGTTAAAGTTTTGTTTTGTCCACAAGTTTTTTTTTCTGTAAAGGAATAGTTTTCTGCAGCTGTTTGTTACCTTGTAGTGGCCTAGCCAAGATAACTTCCAAATTTCAAGTCTCCATCTCACTTCTAATTCCTGTTGCTATGGCATTTTGCTCAACTTCGGAGCTCATTTTTTCCTTTTCGTGTTTCGTCACATTGCATACTTAAAAGTTCTATTGTCTTCTTCACTTAAATTTTTTTTTTCAAAATTGTAGTGAAATGGTGATAGTTTTTGGAAATTATGCTAACTCAATTTTGAAATGTCCTTCATATGACTGATTTTGACCGGCAGGGGCACATTTGCGGTTTACAAGGACACTTTAGCTCTGGAAGTCCCCAAACTTTGGAAGTCATTTTGTCTATAATTTTTACCTCAGTCACTATGCGACCCCTACCTCGTTCAATCGAAAATATCTTGACTTCTATTCAAAATAGAGATTTTTTTCTTCCGCCAAAAGCAAGGCAAATGAACAAGCATTTATAATTACGAGGTTATACCAATAGTTTAATTTTCCCAAACAATTAATTGACGAGCACCTGCTGATGCCACTGTGTTGCGATACAATATATAAATTATTGCTTCATGTTAATCATCTTTCATAACAAGCATCTCAAATATCTTTACGAGTTGATTAAATATGAGCTTCAATTTTCCCAACTGTAATTTTTAGAGAGGAGTATTGGTGGCATGATTTATAATAATAATAA